CCACAGTTGCCACTGCTTGGCATTTGGCAATTTATTTTCTGCTTGGTACATTTCCTCCAATTTGGCATTTTATACAATTGAGTAGTTTAAAATACAAATCAATTATATCGGAATAAATAAGATCCAAATAAATTTACCCGCCCTAATGTACATACATACATACATACATATAGTTACCTTAATATAGAGAGGCCCTAACTCATATAGTTACTGAAATGCAAAAAATGTGGAAACTTATAATTCGATGAAATCATCATAATCCATCAAAACCGGAATTTTGGATTTTTACTTAGTTACGGCTTTTTGTATTTCAACGACGATTCCAAGTATGAAGTTTTATAGTCCATTCAATTTTAGTATGACAAAATGCAAGTTTAAAGTTGCTAGAAAATCGCGTTGATTTTTGGAATTTTTTTTAGTGGAAGGTGCTGATCATTTTGCGCCATACAAAAAATAATTGTCGAATATACTTTGTATGAAAGAACTTTCGTGAAACAAATTACCAAAAATCAACGAGATTTTCTTGCGAATTCAAATTTGCATTTTGTCATACTAAAATTGAATGGACTATAAAACTGCATACTTAGAATTTTTCTAAAAGATCTGAATAGAAAGTAGCAATTTAATGTGAAAATTTATTGAATTTTCCTGAGTTTTGCACAAAGTTTAGAGATTTATGTTTTTTGGTGTAAAATTAACTATATTTTTATATAAAAAAAATCGAAAATAAATTAGAATAAAAACACTTTGCATATATTGCGAAAAATTCACTGTGCCAATATTTTTGTTTATCACTGTATGTAGGTATTGATAAATGACCGCATAACATCAAATTTGCTGTCAACGAAAACGTCGATGTTTAAACGTTTGTAGTGCAGCATATGACAGCTCTGTACTTAGAGCAAAAAAATTGTACGAATTTGTACCAATTATCATGATGAAAATATTATCCAGCAAATTAGAGCACAAAATGACAGTTCTTTTGGAGAGAAGTTGCAAATTTTTGCTAAAAAAATTGTTGATTGTAGCACATGGTTGCATTTTTGTCGATAATAATTTAAATAAACTTGAGCAATTTTCGAATGAAAATTGTAAGTAAATACTTGTTAACTTAATTCATTTTATTAATTCCATAGATTTGAAAGATACTCGGCTAAAAGAACTGTATTCCTAGTCGGAAGGCATTTGCAACCAGAGTCGATTTAGAAAACCCAACAAATACTACAATAAAGGGCACCAGCTGGCTGGGAAACTTGCAAATGCCTGTAAATTTTGGTTCGTGCAGGAATTTGCAAGTCTCTCTACGTGAGAGAGAACATAAGGGAATTTTTTCTTAAGAGCAATATAGATACACCACAGAACGAACAAACGATCGACCGCATCATTTCTATGTCGAAGGCCGCAGCACTAAGTGGCGCAGTGCTTGAAATTTCAAGGCCTTCGGCATCTTAGGCAGCAACGTCCACCCCTGACAATTTGTCAGCGACTGACATGCCAGCGCTATTGGGTGTTGTGCGTACACCAACGGTTCGCAATTCAAGAGGCTCTCTTATTCGGTATCATCCCAACGTTTGTTGACGCACTACTCGCTACTCCAGAGCCCACTAATTCCATCAGTAACAACACAAAAAATCTCAAATGAATGACAAAAATAGTAAACCACATTTGACGGTGATGCCCATTTGATATACAGTGTACCAAAATAAACTAAAAATAAAAAAATTCTGAGGAAAATATATAAAAATATCTTAATATTTCATTTGACAACGCTGCTCTAGACGACTACAACGTAATCGACGTAAAGTCTACACGAAGGCGATCGTTCGACTTTTCTTAACTTTAAGCGGACGCGAATTCGCCTGCAGACGAATTGTTCGTGTCTCCAATCGTTCGAGATACATGATAATGCTGGAAATTCCGCCATGTTTGACAATCCGCTTGTGCGGTGTATTTCATTCTTTTCTCTCCGCTTTTTTGAGTTATGGCCAAATTCTAGCTGGATTTTCGACGAAAAAACCTAATACTTTTCAACAGATGTAAGAAATTTAGTCGTTAGCAAGAGTTACCTACTGGAATATGTATAATTAAGGCATTCGGAAATTTATGTCGTTTACCACTTTCATGGAATAACCCATAAACTTATGTAAATATTTACAAAGAAACA